GTGCTGTCTGAAAATTGAGTTTAGAACTGGGTAGTATATTTCACAAGATCTCTTAGAACACAACAGTCCCAACAACAGACTTGAAAGAGGTTCGGAGCGTTTGGTACATGTCGCTTACCCAGGACAATTTATCCCTGCAGATTTTATCAGGAATATATGTTAAAAATCAACCAAAGAATACTAAATACGAACACTGAAAACAAACTAGACCCCTTCAAACACTTTTCTTAAAACAAGCAATAACATTTTCAAACTTTGATGTATCTTAAAATCATTACAGTAGGGGCTGGGAAGGTGGCTCAGCGGTAGAGTGCTTGCCTTGCATGCATGAGGCCCTAGGTTCGATTCCTCAGCACCACATAAGCAAAAAGAAAAAAGCCAGAAGTGGCACTGTGGCTCAAGTGGTAGAGCACTAGCCTTGAGCTGAAGAGCTGAGGGACAGCGCCCAGGCCCAGAGTTCAGGCCCCACAACTGGATCCAAAAAAAAAAAAAAAAAATCATTACAGTAAACAAAGTAAGGCTCAGAGAGACAAAGGAGGAGTACTGTTTTGCATACGTGGAAAGTGGAACTAAGTTATATAAAATATGTAGACATATACAGGGTCATATGCATGTATACAAGAACATGTTAACTAAAATATGGTATATGCAAGGGAGGGAATCCAGTGGAGTGTAACCCCTTTGAACACTGATTTACTGTTTAACAAAATGAATAATAGGAAGCTGGAACATGGGGGTGTCAGGGGAAGGGTGAGGTCAAGGGAATCATCAGGTGCAAAAATGGAGAGAGGAAGGGTATAGAAACAAAGCTAGAATATTCAGTGCACCCATGTGAAAATGGAATTAGGAAACTGAAGGTATGGTTGGGGTTGGGAGAAATAGGGAAGAATGATGGGAGTGAGATACTCATAAACTGACATGTTGAATTGAAACCCCTTTGTTCAGCTATGTCAGGGTAATTCAAAAATTAAAAGGTAATGTGACATTTCAAAAAGGGAACTCCTCTATGACCCAGCAATCCCACTTTTGGGCATTTACCCAAACGATCACAAACAAGGCTATACTAAAGCTACCAGCATAACTATGTTTATTGCAGCATTATTTACCATGGCTAAGATATGGAACCAACTCAGATGCCCCACAGCATTGTTTATCCCATAATATAAATGTAGTTTTTCAGTTTCATTCACAACAGAGTTTATAATCCAACCACCTAAATATCATATTTTATTCAGTTCATATAAAATCACTGAAATCATGGTATTCCCAGCATTCCGTGCTACTGCACCAGACTCTGTGTCCTGGTTTGGTATTAGATGCACCACTTACAGGCGTGGTTTTTCAGTAACCTTTGCCGCTAGACTATTAAATCCAAGGATGGATTTTTCAATGTGAGACTAATAATGTCTGCACATTCTCAAGGGATTGTGTTTAGACAGTAGACACTTCCATAAGTAGACAAGAAATATTCTGAAAATTGTATCTAACCTGAGAAGTGGAATTTATAATTTGAGAAAAAATACTGAGAATTGACAAGTAGAAGAGGAACTAGATGCAAGGATTCCTTTTCATTTTCATTTTCCAAAACAGTTTAACATGTATATAAAGTAACTTTACACAAAAAAGAGAAGGACTTCATAGTTATTTGATTCTAAGAAAACCACCATTATGTTTAAGTATTTATTTTCTTTAAACATCAGCCTTAGCAATAAGATTGATATAAATATTTAAAAGATGAATTAAGAAAAATGTATACCTGTCTAATTTGTTCATTTAGAAAGAAAAAAATATGACCCACTAGTCGCATTTTCCTAAGGTCAAACCATTTATTTGGGATATGTATGTTAGGAAGAGATATGAATCCAAACATGCAGACTTGTAATGATTTCTAATGCATATCACCATTGCAAAATTTACCACTTGTATTGGTGGTTATTCAAAGCTTAAGAGGCTCTCAAGCAATGTGATCTTCTAACAAGAGAATTCCCTCTTCTGGTTCCTTAGATCTCAGAAATAATTAATGCTGGACAGTCTGGAGTCAAAAAAGAAGCCATGTTATTTAGACACAATGGTGCAGTCACTTGAATTTATGAATTCAGTGTGCTTATGGTTAAGCTGTGAGTGTGACAAGATGAGGATTTCTAGGTAAGCCTTCAAGAAAGAGCTACTTTCATAACAGTTCTGACTTCATCCATGCAGCGCCTTAAGGATATAGTTCCTAAGGGAAGGAACTCAGGGCATCTCTCCAGGACACTTTGCCTAAGCCGGAACTGCATGGACCTCATCCACACCACGTACTTGGTATACCACCTTGAGCAGAGGAGCCCAGCCACAGTGGAGAATGGGCATTGTCCCTGTCCAGCAGCTGCTGGCCACACACTCTACAAATCCTCTAACCTCTGCACTTCGGCTTCTGCGTGTAAATTGACTGAAAAATTTATTCTCTATTTCATGTAATAGTCTTACATTCATGTTGGCCCGTTTTAAGTTTTCCTTCAACAACATCCTTACTAACCTGACCAGGCCACATAGCAATGTTAAATTATTTTAATGCGTTGATTTATAATTGGACAAATTACAGCCTTACATTCTTTGCACAATACTATATGGGTTTTATATAAATGTTTTCTTCAAAAATAAAAAGAATATGGTAGGAGAAAAACAAAGGAGGGGTAACAGTGCTCAATAGGAAATGTACTCACTACCTTATTCGTGTAACCTCTCTGTACAGTATCTTTACAATAAAACATATGTAAAAAAGGAAACCAGGAAAAATGAATATATCAGGAGAAGCCAATCTGATTTATAACCACAAAATAAATTTATGACATTAAAATTAAACTATCTTCAGGGCCCCAAGTGGAAGCTGCATGATACAGGAAACACCAATCCACACAGTTTACAATCTGAAAGGTTAAAAAAAATAAAAGTTTAGAAGAAAAAAAACACTGAATTTTCATGATCTAGTGATGAAAGCTCAACAAGCTATTATTTTCATTGGAAGGAGAAGAAGCCATGAAATGTAAAGAGGTTCATAAGGAAGAAATGCTTTCCTATGTGACAGAAGATTCAACTAGGACTCAAGAAAATTACAGTGTGATCATCAAGAACGAATCTAGGTTTTAAATGGAAACAAGACAAAAATTCAGATTTATATGGAAGGAGTCGAAGACAGTTTTAGAAGATTAGAAAAATTTGTCAGAGGATCAAAATAATATATACATATATATATATACATGTATATACTATGTATGTATAAATATACAAACATATATATACTATATATACATATGTATATTTTGACTTACTTTGTATGGGTGTTGTGTGCATATATGTATATAGATCATTTGATAAATCTAATTGATATTTAGTTTTGAAATATTTTCTAAATTTAGAAAAATTTAGTTTGTTCAATAAGAAAACAAATATATGCTTTTCAGTACATTGGTTCCTCTTAACAACATGATAAAGGTATCATAATACAGAATTTCCAATGTTATATTTTAATTCTGCAATAATTGTTGTTAGTATTTCTTATTATTTAGGATAATATTAATAATGACAAATACAAGTATATGTATTACTCAAAGTATGTCTGGATATGATGAGCCGGCCATCACTAGGAGTAATCAATAGACTTAACCAGGATGTGGAAGAAAAGATGCTTGCAACTCGGTGTAAGACAGAATCCAATGACCTGAAGTGCTTCTGAGTCCTGATTTACAATTTTTTTCCTCCAGTATAAAATCAAACTATAAAATTATCAGCAGATAATATTTATTTATTGTGTATATATATGTGAGAAATAAATTTTTATGTCACACAGCTTATAGTATTTTGTTATAGCAAATGAACTAAAACAGGTATTATGCAGCCAGAATTTTCCTTCTCAAATCAGCAGAAGGACTGTTAGATTGCTCTAGTAGGTGGAGATTTGAAGACAGCAGCAATCCTTTTACAAAAGGAAATGTTCTTCCAGAAGACACCAGCCACTTTCTTTATGCCACATCTATTTCCTGTACCTAATTATCTCTTAACCTATCCTTATCAACAGACCACCCAAAAGGCCTCCCTGTCTGTGGAGATGACATACTGGAAGGCTTAGTTCTTCGCAATCAACATCTATTTGGTTGTCTCCATGGTGACAAAATAGAACAAGATTAATGACACCTTGGACATACCCATTTTGTTAGGCAAGAGTCCTGTATTCTCCCACAGTTTGAATAATTCCTAGTCCTTGTAAAGTATCATTCCTATTCTTCTGGACTTCTGGGGGTGGGAAATCAACAAAAATTTTTCACATTGGCCACAACTCAAAATTGGAAGCATCGAGATGGGTCCAAGTCCATCAGATCATTGTAACAGGTATAACTAAGGTATGACTAACCTGCTGAAGGGCTGCTCAGGTCCACAGCTGTCTCTTTTCATCTCAGTCTCCCTATGTATCTCATCTGTGAGCTTCCATGATGTAAGGGCTTTGGAATTGCCTGCCAGATTGACAGTGTATCTGAGATCTCTAAAATGGGCAGAACTCAGGATATATGGTGGATCTGGAATTGGACCCATATGCAAACTGGGCCATGATAGAAACTGGGGCTATCATGGGAACTGGAGGCAACACAGAAGACAGAATTTCAAAAGTCCCAAACTTGGCCTTGGTGTCTGTCTTAATTCAGAAGTACAGTCTATTAAAACTTGTTTGATTCTAAATGTGACTATTCTCCTAAGATGAAGTACATTATCTTCTTTTAGCATTCCAAAAACACTAAAATATACCATTAAGTTTCACATATTTAAGACTGTACACATGTGCTTTTTCTGTACTACATAAACAAACATAAAGTAATTAACTCTGAAATCAAAATACATGCAAATTTAAATGCTATCTTTGGATTTTGACATGCTAAGTTACTGGAGAAAAAAATACTAAACAAATCTTTTCTCCTGCAAGATTAGAACAATATTTTATTTTTTTAGTAAATACAAAACAATGAACTTACATCAGAATTAAATCTCAACTGGCAAATGTTGCATGATATGATTTGCTTTCTTCGATGAGGAAGAGGAACCCCAAATGTATGATTTATTACAGCTTTCTGAATTGGGTCCATCTGTAATGAGAAAAAATACAACAAATAGAAATCAAACTTGTCAGTTCCATTGGAAAGTTGCCTGCTTCATTAAAGAGCCAATCTGTGCAGCTTCGATCTACTGCTCCCATTATAAAGAACATTTCTATGCTAAGAAAAGACATTTCAACTTGCTTAGAAAATAGATAATAAGCCTGAAGCTTGGGAATGATAAATGTTCCCATTAAACCTACAAACTAAGTGCTTTTCTCATTTGGGATCAACAATTGTACCAGCTAGATAATCCTTAAGTATAATTAAAGGTATTAAACCTCAAGTTTTTGCTAATGCCAACAGTCTAACATACAAGTATGCCAAAATGAACTTAAAAATAGATTTGGTCAGTTGGGCAACTATGAAAGTAAATTATATACCATTATTCAACTTTAGCCTTATGTTTTGAATCTGCTATATTTTAAAAGGGCCAGATGTGGGGGTGCATACATTTAATTCCACCTACTAGAGAAGTAAAGTCTTCTTCACTGAGAATTGTGCATTTGAGGCCCATCAGGCAAACTCAGCAAGTCTGTATCACCAAAACAAACACAAACTGAAGGACTAGAGATGTGGCTTAATAGGTCAGCACTGGTATAGCATGTACAAGGCTCTGCTCCAATCCTCAGTACCAAAAAAAAGTCACAGCATACAAACCCTGTCCCACTGGGAGCTGTTAATGAAGTCATTTAACAATCACTTGTTGAGTACCTAGTATATACTGATGCCCTATGGACAAGTTTAAGGGGACTCAGAGTTTGAACCAAGTGTCAATTACATCTCTTTATCTTAAAGTAAGCCACAACCAAACATGTCACAACCTATCTCTGATAAAACTCTTACCTACCTTTGTTCTGTGCTCAGATCATGATGCCTAGCTGTAAGACTAATAAAAATTTCCATATGCTCTTTACGACTATCTATGTTCTTCTCTTAAAGTTGTGGTGTGGTTTAAATCTGATAATTCACCAAAGTTAGTAGATACTGTTCAGTATTTATTATGAAGCCAGGAAGCTTACTTTTTTTTTTTTTTGGTTGGTCGTGGGGCCTGAACTCTGGGCTTGGGCGCTGTCCCTCAGCTCTCCAGCTCAAGGCTAGCACTCTACCATTTGAGCCACAGTGCCACTTCCGGTTTTCTAGTGGTTTATTGGAGATAAGAGTCTCACAGACTTTCCTGCCCAGATTGTCTTTGAACTGTGATCCTCAGATCTCAGCCTCCTGAGTAGCTAGGATTACAGGCGTGAGCCACCAGCGCCTGGCTAAGCTTTCGTAATATATGAAACGTGACTACATGTTTTATACATTGTGGGTCCTGCAAAAACAAAATCACCTAGAACTTTGTGTTCCTAGAGATACTTTTGATACTCCAGCAATTTGTTTGCAGAAATCTCTGTGATCTTCACAAAATGTAAGTTCCTTCTTCAATTCAATTCACTATTTTGATCTAATTATTAAAACCTAGCTCCAAGCCACAGTATCTGTTCTCCTCAGCCAGGGCCTACTATAGGATAGCAGTGGAAAGGTCAAAGGGTTTGCTATGGGATTAACGCCTGTCCATGCTCCCAACTTCCCCATCCCAGTCACGCTTCCATGCTTTCTTTAAGCCCCACCTCCAGCCCTATTTTCACAGAACTTAAATGAACAATGCACCGAGACCGAGACAGCCAGTCATCTTAAGTGTAAATCTCAGCTGTTTCAACAGCTCTCATTTGGCTTCCCTAAGTCGTTTTTATACCACTTTTTAAATATTGTTACAACTTTCAACAATAACCATAGAGACAACCAACTGTCCCTCCAGAAGAAGTGAAATGTTAAGTGAAAAGATATACCAGGTATTGGTGGCTCACATCTATCATACTAGCTACTCAGGAGGCAGAGATCTGAAGAAATATGGATCAAAGCCAGCCACAGTAGAAAAGTGATGCGACTCCATATCCACTTAACAAGAAAAAAAAATGTCAGACTGAAAGTAAAGTTCAAGTGGTAGAGTGTCAGCCAGTAAAGCAAACGAAGCAAAATGTGAGGCCGTGAGTTCAAACCCCAGAGCTGGGGGAAAAAAAGTCCTAAGTGACTTGCTTTGTCTTATCTTGCCTGTGGCATGTGCTTTCTGCCTAAGCAAAGCACACTTCTTTCAGATGAATTATGCCCACAACCCATTAAGGTACACATCAGTTCTCTCATAATAATACCTTGAAATAGAAATATGACACCCATTGAGGGGGGGGGGGCGGGGAGGTGGTCGTGGGGCTTGAACTCTGGGCTTGGGTGCTCTCTGTGCGCTCTTCAGCCCAAGGTGAGTGCTCTACCGCTTGAGTCACAGCACCGCTTCCAGTGAGTCTCACAGACTTTCCTGCTCGGGCTGGCTTTGAACTGTGATCCTCAGATCTCAGCCTCCTGAGTAGCTAGGATTACAGGCGTGAGCCACCAGCACCTGGCATGACACTTATTTTTTACTAGAGCTGCTCTTCAAAGATACCCTGTTCTGACTTTTTGGTGAGCAAGATGCTGTTTGAGTCTTTCAATAACCCTGGGGAAGTAGGGGTACCCACCCCATCTGTGCCAGAGGTATTTTAGAACCGGATGCTTCATGGAAAAGTGACGAATGCTCTAGATTAAATTCTTCTGTTGAATCTGAATGAGTCTCTGATCACTTGGGCTATGAAATCTGATTTCAAAATGCAAAGTGGGTTGCCTTCTTCAGAGACATTTTTATCTGCCAGCATGCTTAAGAAAAATAAAAACACTTAACTGAATATAATTTAAACATGAATTTCACCAATTATAAGCATGCCACTAAAAGTAATTACTTTTAGTCTTATAGGAATCTAGTATAGAAATATGACACGTTTAACACATTTATCAATGAAAATACACATAATCTAATGTGTGTCAGTGTACACACATATGTACGTAGCATAGATGACCATTTACAGTTAGCAATTATGAAAGAACAAAGTCTAAATAGAAACCCATTTCACCACTACTTATTTAATTAAATGATACTTAATTAAATGCCATGTAACTAAAACCACATCTACTATCTGATCTGGAGATGTAGAAACAATACTAATCATTTGACTCACATATTTATGTATCACAATAAACCTTTTAATCTGTGATTTCCATAACTAAAGCCTTTACTCTTTTGTATGTCTTTAAATTTAGTATTATTGCACCATGCATATAGTTCAGAAAAGTAGGGGATCTGAGAAGTGGAAATACTTTCATATTTTAAAAAGATGAAAAAAGGTGTAATGGTTTCCAGGAAATAGTAAAGACACTAAACTAAAATTAGTACACAGGATCAGATGCATAAAATCTTCAGATGAATCCCACTTAAGCCTGGTAGTATTGAATTATAACTAAGGAAATGGTAATGTCCACCTAATATGACACATTTGTATAATTTCTCAATTGGGATATCTTAAAGAGTAGACTTTCAGAATCCTGTCTGTAGCTCCCCTATGCAAATAAACAAAAGAACAGAATGATATACTAGTGTCTGTTCAGCCAGACACTAGACTGAAATTCAATTTCCAACTCAGCCTATGGCTTATTTAAAGCTAAATGAATATGTTTTTCTTCATTTCAGACTTAAGGACTTTAGTGTTTCTATCAAGGGCCTGGGACTCTGCTGTCACCCCTCTGGGATTTCTTCTAAATGGATTCACAAATGAGCATGTGAGGGGCAGGTCTCAAGGGCATCAGGAGTCCCCATTTAAGAGGACTGTTGCATTGTGGGGCAGCAAGATTTTAACCCTGAGTTTACAGTTCTTGCCCTAGGAGACTGCTCTCCTTCTGATCTACTATCAACTTGCCTCTTACTTTTTCAATCAAAGAATAGGAACTTAAATGCCAGAAGTTTAGGAGTCCTCAAGTATAGAGGTTGTGTCTTCCAGCTGATATTTCTATATAATAATGGCCACTAACAACTAACAATCGAAAGGTTGCACTCACAGACACTCACCGTATGTTTGATGTTCCTAACCATTATTTCTCTCCTAATGTGCTTATGAGGGCACTTTTCCTCTCTGAATCTTCATCAGTACATTACTATCATACATTTCTGATCACTGCTATGTTGGATATTGAAGTCATTCTCTGAGACATATATCTTGGAAAATGTGATTTGTGATAGATTATGTATAGAAGTTTTAGTGGGTACTGCAAAATGTTTGTTGCAACACTGAAATGACATTCTAGCACTAACTACCCAGTGTGAATAGCATGGTCTCCAACATGACATCCTCCCTTCCAGTGCCAAATACAAGTTAGGGGGTCACAAACACACTTGTAGTTGACAAACTGGATGCAAATGTGTAGGTCATCATGATCCACACAGGTTTGAGAATGTGCTACAATGACTGGCAGACAGGAAGAAAGCATTTAAAGGGAATATAGTTTTACCATAGAGGATATATATGAGAAGCAGACATAGGAAGAGAACAGAGGCAAGAGCTTGAAGATGGAGTAGAAAGCTTCTATCTTCTCTCTCTCCCAGAATATCGATGCTACTGCATTCACTTTCCCAACCAGCAAACTCATACAAGTCTCATTACCCAGTGTTCTTACTGTAACTCCATTCCATGGAGGTCAAGCTGGGATTACTTAGCACAAATACCCAATTTTCCAGTCGTGTGGTTAGTCCTTCTGGTGACTGGGCCCTGTCCTCAATCATCTCACTAGTATAAACTAAGCTATTGCTGGAAAGCAAAGACAGTCATATCACTTGGGCATTTCCAAAGGGTTAGAGGTATTGACCACAGATCAAAGGCTAATGATGAACCTAATTCTTTATTTTACAACAGTTGCTCATCTTCATATGAATTTAAATACCTCATTTTCCAGAGTTGTCATGATAATAGAAAAAAATATATCCTTCTCAGTTATCACAAAAAATACCATTTAATCAGTTTTCAGAGTGACCAATAAACAGTAGCAAAGGTTTTACTAAGTCTACTACTCCCTCTTCTGGGAATTACCACTGT